TATAATCATTGTTTCATTTTTCGGAATATTTTCGATGAAAAGAAGAATGAACATTATACACATTTAATGTGATTTAATGTCAAGTACAGATACGAGAAAAATAACACGCTGCAAAATGAAACTTTAAAAAGTTTCCCCATCTCCCATTTACCGTACAGTCCAAAGGCACAGCGAAAGCAAAGACAATAAGAACACACACAGTACAAACACACAAACACGCTCTTGCATCCTCTCAGCGAAGGTGCGCTCTTTCTTCAATAGATGCACTTCAGATCATTGCACTGTTTGGTAAGAGAGGATGTACAATAAGACCTCTTCAAATGAATAGACTTTTGCGATGCTCACTTTCTTATTACGTCCCCCTCTACTTCGCATAGGCACGCGACACCAGCATCGATTCAAGCAGCAGCAACAACAAGCACACATTGCAAGCCCTCTTTTATCCACTCAGCAATAGTGCTCTCTTAGCTTTTCCTTTACACATGTCAGACTACAACAACACGCACAAAGAGGCTATGCTCTATACAGGTGCTGCCGCTCTTAGCTTTCTTGCCCAAGCTTATTGTCATTGCACTAACACCACAACTACTAGGAAGTGAGGATTAACTGTAAAAAACTCTTAAAATCACTCGCCTTTTCTATGCTGATGATCTCTATCTTCCTCTGCCCTTCTAGAACATTCGCAAAAGCAACAACATAAGCACACAAACGCAATGTAAGAGAAACGCCGTTATTAGTTGCTCTCACCGAGTACAGTTCGTTTTGCCTTTGAGTGGGAAGAGAGTCCATAGTCAAATTTAAGCTACCTGCGCCGATGCATGTTCGTTCATGTCGTCGGAAAGCGAATACTTTGAGCTTGCTACCTGAAACATCCAAGATGCGTGAGTACAATAAATGACAAAATAATTGTAGCCCAGATATTTGTATATGTTTTCTGTAAAAGCTTCATTAATCGATATCGAAAATGGGTGTGTAAATGTTAGCAAATGAAAGTTCTCAATGAACCGCATTCGTTTCGAAGATTTCGAACAAAATCCCCTTGATTCCCTTGTGGCAAATGAGATTATAAGCTTTGAGCACTTCACTTCACAATATGCACCAAAGCTATTATTATGTCTGCCTTCCATTTAGCTCAGCGTATTTTTTTCTCCACATTTTCCACGCATTTTTTCCCATTGGGAGCCTGGGTGGGTGTCCTTTTTTCGCCTTTGCTGCTGCTAGCTGGCAGTGTCGCCGTCGCGGCACGCCGCCTCTTCTCTTTATCTATTAAAACGCCTTCCAATTTGCATATTTCTGCAGCTGTAGCAGCTGTCAACGCGCGACGGACGCGACTTAGCGTCAGGCCGAGGGACTGGGACTGGGACGGGGACCGGGGCCGGGGCCGGGGCTGGCCCTATTGTAGGGCGAGCGAGGGCAGCTCTTAAGATAATGTCTGCCGGCCAGCAGAGAGGAGTCGCCCGCCTGATGAGCGGGGAAATGGAGCGAGCAAATTAAAGCCCTGCTCCATGGCCTGTAGGATCAGTGGGAAGGGTGAAGAGGGGTCTAATTTGCGCCATGTCCAGTGCCATACGTAAAGTACAGCATATCCGAATAACTGTAAGTTCAACACTGATTGCAGCTATCAAAATAAAACCCCCAATTGTAAAGAGTGAAATATTTATAATGGAAAATTTTACTGCAAATGGTAAATGTTTTAATTTCCGTTTTGGTACAATAAAAGATGTAGATATTTTATGTGGATTTCGAAGCTTGTATGTAAAGATGAATGTATGATATGTACATTTATGTATGTATGCATGCACATTGTACATAAATAAGCACTTTTAGATCTTATTTTATTTTTTTTGCATTTACTATATCAAACCTTATTTTATAAAGATACTTTGGAGCTCCAAAAGGACTAAATAAATACCACAATAAACGTACCTGAAATTAAATGTTCCATATAAATAATTCACAGTACAAAAATAAATCAATTTATTTGCGTAAAGCCGGTAACAGTTTTGGTACCCAAGTCATCAAAATGTTTCGACTAAAAATAGATTTAATTCCCAAAACGTAAACATTCGCAGAGTATTGACTAGTCCGACAAGGGCGATTGGGTTGTATTTTGGTATTTTATTTCGTTTTGTAGCCCGTTTTATGCCGTTTTTATTTCGCTTCACTCGCCGGGTTGTTCCGCTGTCACATTACCTACATCAAGTGTCACTTTAAAACGCATTTTACGTTCACCCCACACCGGGTCGGCATTTTTGAAGTGTAGCTCAAAGCTGTCGCCACTTGGATGTATCCACAGACGACAGTGTGTCCGTTGTCCAACTGTCCGTTCTGTCCGCTCGCCTGATATCCATCTGATGTCCCTTTGTCCGTTCCATCTGCCCACCTTACTTCATGGCTCGTGTTCGTAAACAATTCGAGGGACATTAAGTTCCAATTAAGTAACATTCTAGGCAAATCAGTGGGTGTGCCCCTGGCATTTGTGTCCCCTGTTGTTGTCCTTGGGGTTTGTTTGGGGTGTAGGGCCGGCAGATTGCTTTGTTAATATTAATTTGTCATTAATTTGAGCAGCGACGTACATCCATAGCTTACGAGGGGCTCGTTTAAAATGCATTGATAAGCCAAGTGGCTCCAGCGCCCATCCGAGCTTCAGGCTGTGTACACAGAGAGTCGGGCAGGCAGGCAGCAGGCAGCTGGCAGCAGGCAGCGTCTTACCATCAGATAGGTTTAATGCGCTTTAAACTGTTTGGATAGGAGCTTGCGGCCTGATGGCCGGAGATGAGCATGGATATAGGGACAGGGCGATGCTTTTACTCTCCGTTTGGTCAGCTTCGAATCCTTTTGAAAACTAGGCACAACTGTTGCTCGGCCACTTTGCTGATGAAAGGGTACGAAGGTATTTTTTGGTTGCGGCGGCTTCACCACAGCCGCACCTGCACTGGATTGGGGTTCTTATCTGCACACTCCCTCCCTCCCTGTTGTTTGTCTCTGACCAAAGGACCTTAGTGTGCTTTTCCTTAATGCGCCAATTTGATGGACAGATCTTGGAAAATGCTAGAGATTTGCCCATTTTGGATGTGGCGTTTCCTTTTTTCCAGGCGTTCGTTTTGCTTGTTTTATTTCTGTTTTTTTTTCCTACGGTTTTCCTTTTTTATTTCACGCTTCAACACGGACGGACTGTGCCCAGCACACACAGAGCATACAGAGCACTCAAAGGCTTCGGCTTCAAGTGTCGACGTTTTTTAATTTTGTTTTTATTTTACGCTACTTTGAGCAGATACACATGCAAATAGCATAGCATAGCAGAGGCCACAAAGCGTAAAAATGTATAAAGCTTATACACCATTCAGCTACAGAGTGCAGTCCCCGCCTGCCCCCACACTGACTCACTCAGTCAGTCAGTCAGTTAGTCAGTCAGTCAGTGAGGCACGGTATTTCAGTTTAGCCAACATGTCTGCTGCTGCTGCTGCCCTCAACGCATAAAATGCAAATATATTTTCAATGCAGCAGCAGCAGCAACCACGAGCTCTCTCTCTGTGCGTTCGCTTTGAATGGACTGAACAGAACTCTAACAGAAAAAAAAAAGAAAGGTGTTATCTGATTGCCATTTTAAACACAGCGACTGCAACATTCACGTCACAGAAAGAGCGGCAGCAGCAGCAGCAATTGCAAGTGCAATCGCAATGGCAAAATCAAAAGCGATGCCCCCTGAAAGCGCACATGAAAAGCTGCAAAATTCAATGAATGAATGGGTTAGGCTATCGTCGGAGCAGGAGTACGAGCACCGGCGGCTTGTGCCCGCAGAGACATTAAAAGATAATCGGCACCAAGTAGAAGCGCAATCAGAGTCCAGTAGTGGTGCAGAAGAAGGACCCTCGTCGTATTTGTCTAAGAACTGTCTGTCAAAGGCAACTTGTCAAACGTTGAACTATCTTGATGGAGCGGTCGTTGGGCTGAGGCAGTCATTTGGGGCCAGCCATTTGCCAATATCTTTTAGAGGAGCTCAAACTGCACTTTAAACTGTGCTGAAAATTGTGTGGAATTTCAAGGAATGATTTAACAGATTTTCATTTTCTATTTAAGCTTGATGTTACAGCATCCTTACAGCATTTATTCCCTGAGTTAACCCGCCAAAGAACGTTCGAAATTCCTGCCCAACATTAAAGACTTCCCAGCAAATGATGTTGTCACTTGTCTCCACGATTTGTTGCTGTTGTTTTTGCCGCATTCTAGCCGATAATTGAAATAATAATTCATGCTCACGTAGCTTGTTAGGGCATTGGACATGTGTCCCCTGCCCTGGCATCCTGTTGCTTGTGTTGCGTTGCAAGTCCTGTCTGTCTGTCTGTCTGTCTGTCTGTCTGTCTGTCTGTCTGTCTGCCTGGTGTGTGTTTGCCTACACTGAGCGAAACGGAAGTAGCAACAGCCACTCGGTTGGCAGTCGGCAAGCTGCAAGTTTGCTTGTCGGGCAGTTGGTAAGCTGCAAGTTTGCTTTTGCTGTGAGTGCAACGGGGCGTATGAGCAGCGCAAGTTGTTTAAAAGTCACACACTAATTAAATGGCACTTGGACACTTTGGTCGGCTGCTTGCAACCAGAAGACTTGGCCCAGACTGTGAGTGTATCCGTGCCGTTTGCAGTGCTTACAGTATCGGCATTTAAAATCTAAAAAGAAGCTCCCAGCTCTCTGCCTTCGACTGGCTATTTGCTTAAGCTTCTCCCTGTCTCTGGGTCTCCCCCCCCTCACTGAGTGCACTCTGGTTACCGTTCGGAGCTGTGCAAATAATGAGGTACACCGCACATGATTTTAATGAATGAAAGCGATAATCGTTTTGAATCGCATTGCAATTAAGCGTGTCAAAGGAGCACAGGACACTGAGCAAATAAGCAGCAAGCTCTGTACCAGACCAGGCCAGACCAGACCAGACCAGACCAATCGCGGCTATCAAAGTGAAACATCTGCGCTGAGTGCTCGGTTTTTTTTTTAGTCGTAGTTTTCTCTCTTTACTGTCAAGTGTTTTTTCGTTTATCGTTTTCTATTTTTACTCTTATTTTTTTGTTGGGTTCTTAAGCGAATGGTGCACCGCCATAGATGCCGCCGCCGATGCCGCCGCCGGCAGTAGCACCAAAGCCGCCAATGAGCGGATATCCAATATTGTAGCCATTGCCATAACCATAAGGACGGCCATAATATCCGCTGCCAGTCAGTCCCTGTCCCAGTCCCAGTCCCAGCCCGAGGCTGGAGCCATACAGATTGCCATAAGGATAATAAGGATAGCGCATGCCGTAACCGCCATATCCACCGTAGCCGCCGCCATATCCACCGTAGCCACCATATCCTCCATAGCCAATTTGGCGACTCACACGCTCTCCTCGCTCCTCCTGCTGCTGCTGCTGCTTGTCGGCGGGCGCATTCTGCTCCAGCGGCTGGCCAACTGTTGCGGCGATTAGCAGCGCATATAATCCCAATAAAAGCCAGCTACGCATTATCCTTATGACTCCTTGAACTGGTTGCTGCTGCTTGACTTTATCAGTGGATTTTTTTATAGGTGTTTCTCTCGGTACTCCGCTTGGCTTGGCTCCGTTTGTGTGGCTGCTGTTAGGCAAACTGTGACCTGGTCTGCTCTGTCCCGGCGCATTTATAGCCTAGAACTTTGTGCATAAAATAGAAACTTTTGTTTTCCTTTTTTTTTGTTTGTTTGCTGTGTCTTGCCGCTGCCGTTTCTTGTCCTCCTCTGCTTGTTAGCAAAGTGAGACGCTAATGTAAATGTCATAAAACAAACTATTAAAAAATATGCTGCCAGTGAGGGAACAAAAAGCCAATTCATATGCCTACCTACCCAGGTACACTTGCTCTCACGGCGCGCGCTAAGTGGCGTTCATGGAATCGAATGGTACGACGCTTTAAAGAGCCAAAAAACATTTCACTTTGTGGCGGGTCAAACATTTCCAGCGGGGTGGCTGCGGTCAACTAAGCTGTGTAAATGTGCTAATTTCATGCGAAGGTTAGTTATGCTATTGACCCGGTGCGAGGCAGCTCGCACCCCCATTCACCCTCCCATTCACAGGCGCACATTCCGGACCAGGGTGATCCCTACAAGGTGACGTCTTCCCCACAGTGCAAACTCTTATGGGGTTGAACATCGCTATCGTGGTGAATAAGTTATTGCTGCTCCCCATAGCGGAGAACATCACCTTCTATGTAAAGTCACCATGCTGCTCACCTCAGCGGAGAACATCACCTTCTAAGTAAATTCACCTTGCTCCGGTGCGGATGCCACCTCCAACTTTGGGTGCGTAAGTGTGAATTGCTGTTTGGTTGTTGTTCTGCCTGTTTGTCCGTTTCTGGCCAGTTTGCCAGTTTGCTGGTCTCTGTGTTTGCCTGCTCAGTATGTTTGTTTGTTTGTTTGTTTGCCTTTGTTTGCCTTTGTTTTGCGGCAGCGCTGTTTGTTTTATGAGCGCTGCTCTGGCCATTAACAATGCTCGATGGCTCTATAGCGACTCCCCTCTATGGCTCTCTATTGCCTTATTGTGGTTTTTGCCGCATGTGTTTTGGGTAAATTGCGAATTGTTCGACGATTCTAAGTCTAATCCAAAGCCGGCGTCTGCGGCATTTTGATTCATTTATGCAAAAGCTTTCGCTGGGGAACGTTTGGGGCTGGGGAGACGTTCGCTCCATTCCGCTGCCCAACAATTTTGCTTATTCAAATTTAAACGCTTTTAGCCAGTGCCAGAAACTGGGTCAATTAACGATGTCAACGTCAAAAACTATGCACATTTTCACAGATTTAACATCCGGCCGTGCCATGAGCCAGAGTCCCCAGTCCGAGTTCAGTCCCAGTGCCACTTCCAGCTCCCATTCGCCCCTCGACGCACCCCGATCCACTGGCTGGCTGCAAACTTCCGCATAAATTTCCCCGAGAGTGCAACAAAAAAAACGCAACGGGTAAAAGAGCCGAGCCAGCAGCCTTGGCATAAATAAAAAATACATTTTTTACTCGGAGACAGTCGCCGAAAAACTATTTTGACTATGATTGTCATAATCAGCTGGCGGTAAGGGGCGCAGGAACAGACAAACATTTATACTCCAAAAAGCCAGTTGGGCGATTAGTTAAATTACTAATTTACATTGGCAGCAGAAAGTCAGGTGCTTGGGTGCTGGCCAGCAACGCAATTCATTCTGGTTTTGGATGGGAAAAGCTGAAGCTAACAGAACAGCAGAAAGATTTTCATTTTGGCCATTAAAGTGGAAGCTTAGAACTTTATATTTTCATTTTAAAGCATTTTTCACACTTGTATTACATTAATTATCACTTTAATTGTAAGATCCCTCAGTGGCTTTGAAGAGGCATTAGCGGTACCTTTTTTAACCACAAATTCTTTTTAGTTCACTTGTTCGTTGAAAAAAGTCTGACAACACTGCTTGCTACCTGCATTCATTAATAATAAACCATGATAAAAAAGAGAAGTAATTTTCGTTGCAAACAGCAAAACAAAATGATTTACTGGCCCCATTTGATACTTGAACTGCTCTCTGCGGACATTTAGCTGACTGCCATTAATTATGCATAATTACATGGCCCGCACACACAAAATGCAACACAGCATTGAGCTTAAAGTGTTTTTAATATTTTTTTGTACGTTGTTTACTTGATCAAGAGGGACACACATTTTTTCTGTATTCATTTGCAACTTCAAACTAATGTTTCCTTGGCTTTTGTTGAATGTTTTACTCGCACTCTTGACGTGAGAGTAGGATGTTTAGTGGCTCCTTAATGGCATTTCAACATTTTTAAAATTCAATTTAATTATCGTCTGCGGCTTTTCCCAGAATGTCTCGTTTTATTACGTCTGCATTTGCATTTGTTTAATCTTCTGCGTCAGTAAATAAAGTCAGAAAAGTCCGGGAATTGGCACCAATAAATGCTGCAATAAATTAATAAAATTAAATCGAGGTTCGACTGTTCGACTGTTCGACTGTTCGACTATGAGTCTGCCTTAGTCCTCTTTTTGTTAGCCTTTAGCCTCATTTCATATCATTTATTATTAAATTCAAAGTTCTAAGATTTAATGCTTAAGTGAGACTCAATTCCACATTTAATGGGGTTCCAAAAAACAAACAAAATTTACATAAAACACTTGGCAAAACATTGCTTGTTGTTCCCCAACTTACAATATTTTTTGTTGTTGTCCAATTATGTATGTAAATGTATAAATAAAACCTGTTGGAAATGTTTCTGGAATCCAAAACAGATGTTTGATATTTTTATTATATTTATAATAATATTTTGGCTAAGAATTCTGATTGTTATCTATGGCTAAGAATTTTTCTGAATTACTTTTTTACAGTATGTTAATTATGAAAAATAAATTGCTTGCAAATCAATCATTTCTAGCTGCAAGTTCAGCAATGATTGACATTTTAATAAAGATATCATATCCAGCAAAATGGTGACATGCCATATAAATTCGTTTGTTTATTTATACAAAATCTCATGGCTAGTGCCAACCACTGAATGGGCCAATAACCGGGATGATTCATTGGGCCCGCTTCAAACGAAAACGAACACAGTTTTGGCATTTGAATAACAAGAGCAACAACAACCAGTTGCTTGGGCTGTGGCTGTGGCTGTGGCTGTTATGCCTAGATTTTAATTAAGTCAGTGGCAATCGGAGAAACAACGCAAACAAAAAGCGTTACGAAATCTGAAACGATGAAGAAGGGAGCAGCTCCGGTGGTTCCCCAGGCGGCACACACTTGAACACTTGGCCGGCCACTTGGTCTATCGATCTGGAACTTGAATATTTTGCGCATTTTGGCTAGACAGGCAGGCAGTCAGGGGGAGGGTGCTTCTAAGTCTGCCAAAACTTTAGCCACTTCTCCGCTTTTTGTTGCCTAATAGGTTTTGGTTATTGTTATGGCTTTTTGCCACTGTCTGTGGCGCTCTCTGAATGTGATCTCCTTCTGCTCCCATTGTTGCTCATCTTAGTCATTCAGTTAATACGAATCGCTCTGCCCGGAGTATTCATTTCACTCACAACTTTGTTGCCTCTGTCCGGTCGAACCACTTCTGCTTTTATTTGTTGCCTCTGCCGCCAGACGATTTATCCCAAATCATATAAATTGACCAGCCATGGTGCTGAGTCTCCATAGAAGCCGCTCTAACTTTCGGCGGTGATTAGTTCAAGAAGTTTATTTGCCTCATCCTGGCGGCGGTCGTCCTGGTTGCCAGCACCAATGCGGCGGCCACAACGCTGCTCGATGTGGATGCAGGTGTCTCGGCGCCAAGCGAGACGCGTCAGGCCCGTCAATATGGCGGCTATGGAGGCAGACCAGGAGGTGGTTATGGCGGCGGTGGTTTCGGTGGACCTGGAGGCGGCTTTGGCGGACCCGGAGGCGGCTTCGGCGGTGGCTATGGAAGACCCGGCGGCGGCTTTGGTGGACCAGGAGGCTTCGGCGGCGGTGGCTATGGCGGCCATCATGGTGGCCATCGCGGCGGCTTTGGCGGTGGCTATGGACGCTAACCATTCCCCACCCTGCCATCCATGACGTGACTGACTTGTGTTAATGCCTAGAAAGTAGATGAAATAAAATCGATCTGCAATCGAGCACGTTTTAATTGAGTTTGAAATACAATCTTGGCTACTCTTTGGCCTCACTTAATTTCCTTGTCACTTGCATTGGCCGTTCGCTCATCAATGGCAGTTCTCTCACAATGATTGCCAGATCATTGGCTCATTCCACCCCCTGCATTGTGTAGCCCGTGAAAGCATTTAATTTTCTTCGTGTTTGCCCCCAGTTTGCTTTTCCTATTTATAACAAAAGCAATCCATTGAGAGAGAGAGAGAGAGAGAGAGAGTGCTGGAGCAGCTGGAAGTTCTATCCGTCTTGCCAATCTTGCTGCCAGTCTCCCTGTCTCCCTGTCTCCCTGTCTCTCTGCTTAGTCCCCCTGCTGAATCGTTTAAGATTAAACGTTTGCTGTAAAATTACGCCCTTGACAAGCGCCCTTTTATTGTTAAAAAATTAACTGGGCTTTAAATGTACGCCTTTTGTTATCCCTTGACCTTACAGCCATGCGCCCAACATTGATAAAAGTTTTCGTTCTTTTTTTCCTGTTCGCTTTTTTCCCCCTTTTTTTAGAAGAGCGAAAAAATTCCTTGCTATCGAAACGCAGACTTGTAAGGGGGCTTTTGTTCGTCTACACTTTCACGGTATACACTTGGAGCAAAAACAAGAAGAAAAAGTTCAAGTGTTGCATTATGTGTATCTGTTGGCATCTTAATTAGAATTATTAATGAATTAATTGCGATAAAAGCGTGTCCAGTGGATGCTGCCACTGTCCACAATTTAGTGCAAATTTTAAAGTAGACTTTCATCATTAAGCTGCAGTTTGAGTGTAGATTCTCGAGGCGTCAGCTTATGCTTTAGCTGTCTTTTTAAATTATTATTTAAGCATTTTTGTAACTCCCTGCAGAGCATTTAAGCTTCACTGAGCGACTGTTCCCTGCCATTTCGTATGCTCTTTGGCCATTTTAATAGCACTGTTCTTATCGAAATCGTGTCTCAATAAATCTGCGGCACCTTCAAAAAATACGCCACGACCTTAGCCATGCCAACGCCCTTGTCCACGCCCACGCCCACGCCCACGCCCCAACAGCTGGCAGCATCCCGCACAGGATCTGCGGAGGAGGCGGCATTTTCCCCTGTTCCAACTGATTATCCATGTTGACCGTTGTGGCGGCAGCAGCCGCAGCTGATTGATTTGTTATTGAAAATATTAGGCCTGCCTCGGAGAGGGTGTGTGGCAGGGACAGGGGGGTGTGGAACGTGCTTTGTTTGATACGCTCGAAACTTTTATAACTTTATGAGGGCGTTGTAATTTGATATCGCAAAGTTTTTTTATTGCCTTTTATAGCCTTATAATTTGGCCGCGATGTTGTTACTGTGCCTGTTGATGTTGCTGTTGCTGTTGTTGTTGTTGCTGTCGCTGCGGCTGCTGCCACAAGATATGGCAAGGACCTGCTTGTTGTTTGTGGCAGCCTTTCTGTTTACACGTTATTTATGGCTTAGAAATACGTACCGCTCGGGGCGGCGCTTTTCTAAATTGTAAACAGCTCACATGTGGCCGCCGGTGCCAACGAAATCTCTTAATGAGCATTAAATGTCGCCAAATGAAATTACAAATACACATCAAAAATGTGTGTATATAAATATATACTCATGTATGTGCACATTTATTTAATTGGCTTAAAGATGGCTTACCTGTTTTTTGGGAGAGAGCTTACTCGTGTATTTATTTGTATTTTCCCAACACACTGACTCATCTCAACATTTACGTCATAAAAGTCAGCACTATTTTTCATGAGAATTCAACTAGAAGCCCATCTCATACTCTGCCACAGTTGGGAGTATGTGGAGTGGCACATCTTTTGGCATAATATTAGGAATTGTTTAAGCCTTCGGTTGCAGCTTTGCTAGAGGGATTGAAAAGACTTTTCGAGTCTGTTTTTGTGTAATTTGTATGCACGATTGAGAGCGAACAATAGATTAGAAGGGCTATTTCGTTTTTGTTTAGATTTGTCGTAAATGGTAACCCGACAATAACAATATTTTTTTACCCCTTTTGCTTTTCAATTTAAAATAGGAATTAAAAAGGAATATTTCCCGCATTGGCAATAAGTCTTTGATTAATTTTTTGAAACTCTCGAATGTAGAATGTACTTGCTTAAATGCTGTATATAATATAAAGAAGTTCCACACTTCTGTTGGCTAAAGTTTTCTTATTCAAGGCAAAAACTGAGAACCTAACGAGTCGACTAATAATGCTCTTAAACAAATTATGAATGGAATTTTTTGCTGGTGCCTAGTTGGAAGCAAAACTGCTTCAAAACAGTTGAGAAACAGTTTAGAAAATACAATAATGTAGCAGAACTTTATTGCTTAATGCGTGGTACATAACTGTAAGCATAAAAGGATGTGGCGTAGTTTTAGAGCTCACAAGAACTTAGGCCCAGGGTATCATTAAAAAGTTCTTGGAAGTATCGAACTTCCTCCCGCGGCTAAAAACAGAATTAGAACCAAGCGAAGAGAGGGAGAGAGAGCCAAGAACGTTGTGGCTGGAGGGGGTAACAGGTTGTTTTTGTTGTGTAGAAATGAATTTGTTATTTTCGATATTTTTTTGCGTGTTTAATTTTTGCTTGTTACGTCTGCGCCCGAGGGCTCTTGACGGACCGGGGGTTTTCTTCGTCGCTTGATTATGCTCAGGAAATGTAATTGTTTAAGGTCGTCAACACACAACTCGTTTAGAACCAGAGAGTCAGCTAGGAGGGGCCCCTGGCAGCAAATGGGGTATATAAAGGCCTAGGCGAGGGCTTGGTTCTGTTTCATATAGAGGCGAGCCCCCAACGAAGCGAAAGTCTAGACTCTAGAGCAATGCGCGCACACCACTTGAATCTATTAGTGCTGAGTGTCGGAATGGTGCTGCTCCTGGCCGTGGCACAGTCCCAGTTGCAGGAGACGCCAGCCGAGGCGGATGTGAAGCAACTGACTTTGGCGGATGTAAATCAGGGCGCAGAGCAGCAGGAGATGCCGGCCGTGCGCCTGGCCAGGCAATTTGGCGGCGGCGGCTTTGGCAGACGAGGCTTTGGCGGCGGATACGGAGGCTACGGCGGGCGAGGCTTTGGAGGCGGCGGCAGGAGACGATTTGGCGGCGGTGGCTTCGGCGGCGGTGGATACGGCAGAAGACGTGGGTTCGGTGGAGGTTTCTATCCACCCCCGCCCTTCTTTGGCGGCCCCTTTTTCGGCTAATGTGCACACACTGAGAGAAAAATAGTGTGCTGTAATTATAGATTTTAGCTTGGATTTCAATATTTTTAGCATTAATTTTTGACAATTGTATACAAAAAATTATTTTAAAATATTTAACTTTATTTTAAACGGAATATTTAAGGGGTTTCTCTTTGATTTCAAAATAAATACACAAAAAATATTAAATATAAACCTGAAATTTATTACACTTTAAATTGAATATTTAATATTTATTTTAAGGTGTTTTGTATTTAAATTGAATATTTAACAATATTTAAGAAATATTTTGAATACTTTTATATTCAAAACAAAGCAAATTTATTTTTTTTTTGCGAGTTTTGTGCATATTTAATTTATAATTAATTTTAATTTAGTTTTAATTGAATAATGCCATTTTTTATTGCCAGTGCAAGTGCTAGAATCAGCTCTGGGTTGGCTGCTAATAAATCACCGCGAGCTACTTACTGCCCTAATTACCCAACGAAGTGCTAAACCAGTTTGTTCTGTCCCTGCCCATATGGGGAAATGCTTCTAAAGGTAATCTAATAGCTATTCTTAAGTACTGTGTGCCATACCGTGCTATATTGTCATTTCGAAGGTACTCAGCCCCTCCATTGCAGGATGGCTGCCATTACCTTTTTTTATGCGCAATGCCTCTGGCGGAAGTTGTCACAGCACCTAATGGAGTTCTGGCGCGGGGATCTAGATACAAGGACAAGGTAAATCACTTTTGGTGCAGAATATCACTCCTTGCCACGGGGTAAGCATTCCAAGAAATATATTTGGTGTTTTTCCAGCTCTTTTATCTGTTTATCCCTTCATAAATGCTCATAAATCAGTGGATGCTTTAATTACTTTACTTAGACCTAAACTTGTTTGTGCTGCTAAGATCCGATCTGAAGCTCTAAATAATTGCCATAAATAAAGCCCAGCTATGATCCAGAACGACATTCAAGTACTGAGATGCGTTCGTTCCCCTGTCTGGTAGTTGCTGCAGCTCTGCTGGCCATCTGTGTGAGGGAAGCGCTGGCGGCAGAGCAGCCTCAGCCCCTGCTGGATGAAGGAGGAGATGTTGATGTCGATGCATCATTGGAGCGTGTGCGTCGTCAAGTTGGAATAGTTGCCATCGGCTTGGGTGGTTCTGGCGGAAGGCGTGGTGGAGGAGGAGGAGGAGGGCGCTTCGACGGTCCGTTTAGGAACAACTATCGCGGCGGTCCCTATGGCGGACCCTTCAATGGTGGTCCCTTCTATGGCGGCGGTCCCTTTGGCAATCCCTACCAAGGTCGAAGATATGCTGGACGCTTTGGTGGCGACTTCTACGGTCGCTGACGGTCCACCAGGACTCTGTGTGTTCAATGACTCCTGTACCCAGTCGCTAATAAAGCAAATAATTGACGAAAGTAAAGGGTTAAGGGTAAGGGATTGAGGGTTTCAGGCAACCATTTTTCCCCATGCATGGCCTTGGAGGGGTGTGGTGAATGGGTGCTGCAGAAATTATAAAAATTTCATTTCAAATCACGTTGAGTGACGGGGCAAACGGAGAGAGAGAGAGAGAGAGAGAGCACAGGACAAGAAAACTTAATCAGCGATGTTAACGATGTCAGACTGCGGGAACAGGATGTCATTCTGTAGCATGAAATGGCTCCATTCCGGGTCGCGTTCTCGTATTTTATTCCGCTCTCTCTCTCTTATTTTCCTTTTTTATTTTCTAATTCATATGCGTTTCAAGTTTTAATTACGTGGGAAAAAAGCGAACGAACAAACGAGCGGGTGCCCGCCCCGGACTGTGACTGGGACTGGGGCTGGGGCTAGGACAAGGACCGTGGCCGTGGCTGGGACCACTGCCAGGGACACGACTAGCAGGAGGGGATTTCTTCTGGCTTCGTTTGGCTTGACTGACAGACAGCAGCAGAAACGGCAGCAGCAGCAGCAGCAGCAACATGAAAATAACAAAATACGCCCAATCAGCTCCGCCAGAACGGAAACGAGACGATACACAGAGGGCAGACAGACAGAGAGACAGAGAGACAGATAGACTGACATTCAGCGAGACGAGCAAAGAGACGAGCAGAGGCAGAGAGATGGACAGAGCGACGAACGGAGAGACGAACGGAGAGACGGGTGAACTGGGAGAGACACAGACAGCATGGCGGACCAAAAAAAAGGGCAAAAAAATTAAGTAGCGAAATCAGCGGGCAAAAAAACAAAAACAACAACAACAAGAAAAAGAAAAAGAGCAGCAGCAGAAGAATAGGATATGGCGGAGGAGAGCCTTCAGCACAACACAAATAAAACAGGATAAAGGCGTTGCATGCCAAGGATAATCCGTGCAGCATACGGCCGTAGGAGAGAGCCGAGCCGGGCAGCCAGTGGCACTGACACGGGCGGAAGAGAAATGGTGGCACGCAAAAATTGTGAACTCACTTGACGTGGCAGGCAGCCAACAACCCAACTGCCAAATGGCATGACGACGTTGTTTGGTGCCGACATGTGGGTGGGCTACGGGCTGAACCGGTGTGGCATGGCTCGGGGTGGTCATCGCTTGTTAGCTGCGTGTGGCGTCCAAATCAGCGCTCCAGTCGTGGCTTAAGCAAAAGATGTGGCCATAAGCATAAATATGCACGAGCCACTGGACACAGCAGCAGCAGCTGCCAAAGTTGTTGGCTCTCTCCTTGCCAGCTATGTGCGTGCGTGCGAGAGGCCAGAAGAAAAGAGGAATAAATATCAGAGTAATTAACAATTACAATGATGCGAGCACATTCTGTCGGCCATTGGCAGCGACCCCGCTAGACCTGTGCCTTGCGCATCGGATGCTCCTTTCGCTTGGTTGCCTGGTTAACGGACTGCCCTGAGTGACTGACGGCTGCTATCAGAATGTGGATGCCTGCCTGTCGCTTCTGCCTGTCTGTGTATAGGTGTGTGCACGTGGTTGCGGCTCCTCTATGCTGCCGCTCCAGGGAGCACACACACAGTTCGATTAAGTCCCACCTAGAGCAATACAAATGGATAGTTTGATGCTCTTTTCAAAAGGGTTCTATAGTTTTGATAAAGCGCTAGGCAATTCTCTTGGATTGTTCATACAATTATTCTGCAACCCCTTGTGCACCATATCATGGCGAAATGTTTAAATCGGTATATTTGTAAGGGTATTTCAAGCTTCGAGGTTTCCCGGCTACAAACTTCTCTTGCTATATTTATGCCCGAATAAATTCGAAAATTGCAATTGTGTATTTGTTTTTCAATAAATTTTAGAAGGTTTCCCCATTGCCTTTGCCATTACCCAGATACATAACAGACATTTTTCCAGCAACTAAATTCGATTTTATTTTTTATTGCTGCAGTACTTCGATCTAGGCTGAGGCGTGAGGCTTAGTTTCTCAAAAATTGCACGCTGTTTTCTCTTACCCTCCATATTCGCAGCCTCTTCTCCCCTCTCACAACACATGACAAAGAAGAAGCACAGCACTTTCCCCTTCTCATCATTTACAGTTGCATTAACAACTCATCACAAGCAGCAACGTTCACTCTCTTGAGGTAGGTAGAGGCAGAACACAAAAGTCAAAGTCAAATGAGAGAGCAATTGGGAAGCGCAGCAGAAAGAGAGCATGGGATGATCTAACCTCCTACGCATGCAAAGCCGCGCCGACGGGCCAAGCACGCGGTTTTAAGTCAGCTCCGCGGTTAGGGTCGTGAAAATCGGGAAATGGATGAAAACTCCAGCGGGAAAATTGTCGCGCAGTTGTGTGCACAATGCACTGTAATGGTGAAGTGAAATGGTATAGTGTGCAGTGCCAAAAAATATAAATAAATTCCTGATCCACACAGGCGGCCAAATTGCAACCAAAAAGCAGAGCGGCGAAGGCGAAATAACGAAATAAGTGAAAGTGAAGTGTTAAAAGTGTATAACGCATTTGATTTCCATAATAAATAATCTTTTTCTGTCACGTGATCTCTGGCAATGATTGCGTGTGCAAGATATTCGGCGCATATGTAGTTGCGTCCCATTCCCACTCCAATACCCAATGTGAAGAAGAGGAGAAAGACACTAAGAAAAGAGCGAGTGTTAAAAGTGTGGTGTAGTGTAATGTGCAGTGATTAAAAAATTAAAAAAAAATCCTGATCCAGAGAGGCGGCAAAATGGCATCCAAAAGGCAGAGCAGCGAAGTCGAAACAAGGAACTAAGTGAAAGTGAAGTGTTAAAAGTGCAGTGCAGTGTAGTGTGCAGTGATTAAGAAAGGTAAAAAAATTGTGCTTTAGTGCAAGAACAACTTCCTAATCCAGAGAGGCGGCAAAATAGCATTAAAAAAGCAAAGCGGCGAAGGCGAAATAAGGAAAAAAAGTGTTAAAAGTGAATTGAGCATTTGATTTCCATGTACATCATTTTGTCAATGAATTTGCGTGTATTTGTGTGTGCAAGAAATTCGGCGCATAGTTGTGTCCCATTCCTACTCCAATACCCAATGTGAAGGAGAGGAGAAAGACAATAAGAAAAGAGCGGGTGCAGCGCGTCGACGCTCTCTCGTAAGGCATTCAAAAAGGTAGAGCGGCGGAGGCAAAATAAGGAAATAAGTGAAAGTGAAAAGTGTATTATTGTACAAAGTGTGTTTAATCATATTATTCTTTTTTTGTTCTGTTATGTAATGCCTGGCAATGTGTGTGCGTGTATTTGTGTGTGCCAAAAATCTCCAAAACCCAATGTGATGAAGAGAAGAAAAAGCAATAAGAAAGGAGCGAGAGAGCGTACAAAGTGTTTCAGTGCATGGTGTGGTGAGGTTTGGGTGATCTGGCTCTCTCTCGTTAGTGATTCCACACGAGCTTCTCCAGTTATGCATCACCTTACATTAATCTACCCAAAATATGTGGTCTTGTGCCGTTGCGTTTTCGTTTCGTACTTCGCAAAACCCCGCTCGTTTTACCGTCCGGCGTAACCACGAAATCGTCGACTTCTCATGTATGGGAGGGAGGAGCAGAAAATGCTTTAATAAAAGGTAAAAGAAAGATGAAACCATTGCTGTTTTTACATACTTACATGCTATGTGCATATATTTGCTTGTACTTTTTTACAATATTATATGTCTTGTTAAAATTTGCGTAATTTAATTGAATGTAGAGTAGATCTAAATATTATAGATTACCACTCGAAATAAATTCCATTTGATCTTATTATATCAACATAGCGTTGACTATTGATGCAATCTTTAATTTGAGTACCCATTAAACCCATTACCTACATACATATGTATGTATGTATATTTAAATAACCTTCAATTTGCATCCTGATAGAAGTTCAACCTAAATTACCCATCGTGGGGGGAGAGGACCTACCCGCCCTAAGCCCCCAATGTGCGAGTACTCTGACCAGATTAAGGCTGATTTTATTTTGGTTTCGTGGTGTGCGATGTCGTCTGCCATGTTTAATTGTATTTGTGGCCACACCTCCACCCACAACCGCTCACATATACACTTAGGCTGACATGCACACACCCAGTGGCACACAGAAAGTTTCGAAGCTGAAAAATCTAAGAAAAAATCCCTAATTAAACAGTTTGTCAGTAATGCAAATAAACTTTGTTAAACTTTTGCCCACAGCCAACGAGCGGGCAAAGAGTGGCAACAAAAACGATGCTTTTTCTTCTGTCTGCCCCATTTTGCTTATTATTTTCCTTCGTTTCCCTCATTTTCTTTCTTGTTTCAATTTTTCTCTCTCTTTTTTTGTATTCCCGCACATTTTTTGTGTCTCTTTTTTGCTTTGGTCAAGCACACAAAAATGTAATTATTAAAAAATTATGCTAAACACGCAATAAAAAGTTGGTAAGAGAAAAATACGAAATTAACGAAGAAAACCAACAGCGGGACAGAGCTGCAGCGCTGAGGAACAAAAAATTTGTTTTTAAAAGGCAAACGGTCAAATTTATATATTTTTTTTGAAATTTTTTGCCCACTTTTTGTGTTCATTTTACGTTTTGTTTTCTTACACGCCCGCATGATATAACGAATGAAAAGAAGGAAAAGACTGGAAATAAAAGAAACTCGCAACAAGAACAAAATTAACAATTGTTAATTTGAAAATTGCACACAAATGCGTAATGCGAAAGTTTTTGCGGGCAGCTCGGGCAACGGGCAATGAAGAGGCGACCCAGAAACCGGACTTAGATCCGCCCACGGACAGGACCCACACTCGGCACCCGCACCAAACCCGACTCGGCTTGGCCACTTGTTAAGTGTTAATGAAATAATTATGCCAACTTTGCCCGGCACAGCCACTGGCCGCACATGGCCCATGCCCCATGCCCCACTCGGCAGTCTAGCAGCAATTCCCTCCCCAGTAT